CTGGACAGTAATCTCTGGTCTGTACACACACACACACACACACACACACACACACTTGTGCACATATGTAAAGCATACACACATGTGTTATAGGATGTTTCATCACAATGTGAACCCTGAGATTGTGTTATTTACTGAAAAACAAAACAAAACAAAAAACCCCAACTGTTTCTAGTTGTGGTGTGGCTCAGCCCTTAGCACACACCTTTAATTCCTCTGGCTGGAATACAGATACACCTTAATACACACCTTCAATCCCAAACAATAAAGGTAAGGAAGGAGGAATAAAGGTTTGTAGAAGGAAGCACCCTAGTTTGGAAATGAGTTCTAATTGAGTAGCAAAGTGATGAATTAGAGAAAGATTTGACAGAATGAGTCAGAGCTAGGATATGCCCAACTTCCACAAGAGAGGAAGGGGAGGCAGAGAGAGGGAGAGAGGAAGGAGGCAGTTTTCCTGGTACAGTTGCACCAAGACAGGTTGAAGAGAGATCAAGCTTGACACAGGTGAAGACAAAAGGAGCCAGAGAATGAGAAGGAGCCAGGTCAGAACAGAGTTAGTTTGAGGCCAAGCAGAGGCTGAGAGAGAGAGGAGCTTGAGCCAGAACAGCTGAGTTGAATCAGCCAGTCAGAGCTCAGAAATAACTAGAAAGGGTGAGTTTATTCAGCAAGACTCAGAGGCTGAAAACATTCTAGGCCTAGATAAGACTGTATGAGGTCTAGAAGCTTCCAGGACTAGGGCTTGGTTAGCAGACTGAGGCAGTGAGCCTCAGAGAGAACAGTTGCTACAGGGGGAAAAAATTACATTAACGCACATGTCATACACACATGTACCCATAAATTATAATAAAAGTTACATTAATGCACATGTCATACACACATGTACCCATAAATTATAATAAAAATTACATTAACACACGTCATACATACAGGTACCCATATATTACAGTAAGGAAATGTCTGGAAAGAAGGGAAAACAGTGGAGAGAAAGGAAAGGGGAGATGAGCTGGAGTTGGGTAAAACTATGTTGGTTTAGTAAATGTTTTTCTTCAGGCAGACCATACTCTTAAAAGTAAGAAGATGGCGCTGGAGAGATGGCTCAGCAGTTAAGAATGCTGGTTGTTCTTCCAGAGGACCTGGGATCAGTTCCCAGCACCCACATGGCTGCTCACTGCTGTGTGTAACCCCAGACCTGGGGATCTGACTCCCTCTTCTGGCCTCTGTGGGCACCAGGCATACTGCATGTGGCGCAGAGACAGACATTCAGGCCGAACACGTTAAATAAACTCATTAAATAAACAGTAATGGAAGAAACTCTAGGAAATAATAACCCAGTAACCTCTGCAGCCTTTTTTTGATAGTAAACTATTGATTGAAAAATTAGTGCCTAACTCTGGCGTCAGTAACTTGCCGAGGGAGCCAAACAGCAGTCATAAGAACCCCCTGCAGTACGGTGGCTTTCCCCAAACAAAATGAAGCAAAAAGGAAGCCTGAGGTTCTAAGGGAATGGGTGTGAATTAGGGAGGAGAGGAACATACTCACAGTTACAAAGGGAGCTTTTCCATAGTCTGCAATGACTGCTCACCTGAGGAGCTCATCCCCAGTGACAAGCTACGCTTCCTTCTGTAGTCCTGTGTTCCAGTGCATTTTCTAAAATGACTGTGTAGACCCAAAGGGACAAGTGACTGGAGGTGATTCTGTGAGGTGAAATCTGTGGTGCCTAGATTTTCAAGCCAAGACTGCAGTACACACACGTACACACCGGTGCACACACGCACACCCTGCCCTGTGGTGAGGAGGAAAGGACACGTGTTTCCATCTCTTCCTAAGAGTTGCCTCCGTTATTCACACAGTGCTCAGAAGTCAGCACTCTCACCCTGCCCGTCGTCTCGTGGCTCCTTCTGCACACATCAGTCTCACTGGTATAGATGTTTGAGTTTGCAGCCCCGGCCTTGAGCTTGTCAAATTGACAAGTGTCTCACATCTATTGCTAAACATTTGGTAGGCCAGCTTCAACAGGTGCTAAGAGATGTCTTAAAGCTTACAAACTCAACGGTGCCTTTGCACATGTTCACCAGCTGGTTAAATAGGAAATTAGTTGTGCCAAATAAGAGAGTAGGAAGTGTAGTTTACCTGACATGGATGCTCTAGTTTAGTACTGTGTCCTGTGTTCACCTCCTGTATGTCAGAGTGAAGGAAAAAGTGTATTTGCATAGGTTTGGGGCTGTAGTACTGTTCTGCTACACTGTGTGTATTTTCAGTAAAAAGAAAATCAGAATTTTTTTTTTTCAAAAACATGGAAGCAGTTGTAGCAGATTAAGACACTGGGAAGCTTGGTGGTAGGTGTCTGAGTGCTGGAGCTTGGTGGTAGGTGTCT